AATAAAATAAATATTAAAAGTGGTTGAGGAAATATGATATGTGTTAAATACGGGTTTAGGACACCGCCATCTTCTACTTTTAAAATATACAGAATATATAGCACTACTTATATTGCGGTTTACACAGCGAACGAAACGAGACAATGGCGGAAGACCAAATTAGAAGCTTATTTCGTCATTAAAAAGAAAGAAAAAAACTTCACTGATATCGCTTTTTCCATCCGCCAAACGTGGCTGTTCAAACTAACTTCCAAACCCCCTCCCCCCCTTTCCTCCCCCCTAAATTGCGTTTGAGCTTGTATATCGTATCACAAACCCATGATTAAAATGAGCTGTTGTTATCTGTTGTTGTTGTTGTTGTTGTTGTTCTTTCACTAGAATCAGTGCTGGGTGCAAAGTGTGTGCTTGTAGAGGGGGCGAGGGGGGGGAGGCAAACTAACCTAGGCTATTCTTTATTTATTATGGCACCTCCTTCTGTTCCTTCTTATGAACGAGCCCAATAGATGACCTTGAACTGTTAATACTAGGTTACTATTAATATTATGATTAGCTATAGTATTAATCTATTATTAGTATATATTATATACACCCAATAACACATGGAGGTTTTTTTTTAAATTACACAAAAAGAAGAGAATTCATAAAAAATATTACATTACAAGTCAGACCTATTACCAATACACGTGGAATGTAGTATAAAAAAATACATCGGATGATTTACAAACAATATTATACTCCAGAAAATATAATTACCGAAGAGAATTAAAAAAAAAAGAAAAAAAAGAAACAGATGCTTCTGGAAAGAGTACAAAATACCATTGGCTAAACGTACAGCCCTAAAGCGCACGGCAAAGAGGTATGTGTGTATGGAGGGATGCAACTGGACGGGCGATAAGGGTTGTCGGACAAACGCAACAAACGACTTACTGGCACTGCACATTACTTCTTCAAAAAAAAAAAAAAAAACACCTCGCGAACTTCTCTCTGAATATAAGCTTCTATTCAGCCTTTTTTTTTCTCCTTTTTTATTTGTAAAGTTTCAGAACCTGATTCAAACCTGTTTTTTCAGGACGGTTATTTATTGATTTATTGTCTTGTCTCTTGTGATTTTCTGATCTTTTGTTTTCACGTCACATTTTATTTTCTTCTATATTTCTTCTATTTCCTTTTGCTCTCAGATCACGCGCTTTTCCCCAATCTCGCTTATTTCGCCTTCAGGCCTTAGAAGAATCTCATTTTTTGAAAAGTACTAATCATATCTGACAGTCACAGTGTTTATAAATCTCAGGCACAAGAAGGGTAGGACACGAGCTTAAAGTTTTCTTTTTTTTTTTGACAGAACACTTTTCACAGAACATTTTCAAAGTTCTAACACAGTCGCACGTTTCAAAGTGATTTTTAGAAAATGTCTTTCTGAGAGTCTAGGAATGCAAAATGTAAATAACTTTTCTTAAACACTATCAGGTTCTTTGTATGTCTCGATGGAAGTCCATTTGACATCAGAGATATCAGAGGCGGGTACAGAACTGCAGTCTTGTGCTGTCCGGACATATTGGCAGTTGATGAGAAAGTTTTAGCAATTAAATACACACACAAAATAAGAACAAACATTTAATCAGTGTAAAAAAAAGCAAGTGTGAGCATGCCTACAACCTAAGAGATAATTACTTCGAGGCACAGGGGAAGAGAGAGAGAGAGAAAGAGAGAGGAAGAGAGAGAGAGAGAGAGAGATAGACCTCGGTGTCACTGGGTCATCTCGCAGGTTTTGAGCAAATAAGCGCGACTCTATCTTGTGGTCAAGCTTCACTGGCAAGCTATTCTTTATGATACGGAAACAAACTTTGGTTTTAGAGAACAGAGTAGTTGGCAATACACATGATAATTTTTTTTAGTGTTTGAATGCTTGAACTCAATGTATATAAAACTTAGAAGAGACAATAGAATACATTACGCTTAATCTTCAATAAATGCTTTGCTTTAAAAGAAATCGCATGGAATCCTAATTTTCAAAAGTCAAAACTATAACTGAATATCTATTGTTGTAAAATAAATTCATTACCAACAACCTTACATTATTAAGATACAGTGAAAGAAAGAGATAAAAAACCTACATATATATATCTATTCTTCAATTTTACAGATAACAAAATTTGAACTTAGGTAATATTGCTTAATATAAATATGGTATTTGATTTCATCATGATCTGGGTACTTAGGTGCGTGCATAACACCGTGCACCATGATTAACACTGTCAGGCATGTCAGACTTTGATTTCTTCTGCCGCTCGATCTCGCCTCGGATCCGCGATCAGAAAAGCCGGGACGGAGACGTGGAGTTTAGTCTACTTCTTGCTCCGCTGCTGAGCTGGAGCCCGAGTTCACTTCTGACAAAGGAGGGAGCTTCCTTCTCCTATTGCGGGGGCTGCAGCGTGGGCGGCGGGGAGTCGGGGCCAGGGGCAGAGTGGGCGGGAGTCGCGGGCGTTGAGATGATCAGCGTCCTGCTGAGGGCGCCCTCGGTGACCGTGTAGCCACCTCCGTCAACAGTGATCTGCGTGAGGGACTTTTGCGGAAGAGAGGACATGTCGGTGCGCAGGAGATGGGTGGGGAAACTGCTGCCGTTCTCCGAGGATTCCACTACAATGGTCTCTCGGGTGACGGAAGGTCCTAGCGTTACGCCCTCGATATTGGTCACTTCTCTTGTGATGGTGGGGCCGAGTGTGACACTTTCGATGTTTGTCACAGGGCCAAGAGTAACACTCTCGATTCCTTCCATGGTAATCGTTCCGCTATGGCCCAGAGTCATGGTTTCCACATGGGGGGAATCCGTCGTCACCACAACAGCGCCGTTTTCCCTCACGGTCACGAGTGCAGGCTCCTGTAAGGGAACTACAAGCTGAGGAGGAGACTGTGCACGGGAACCTCGAGGCTTCGGGGGCACGGGAGGGGGCACAGTCGTAATGGAGGTAGGGCCACTGATGTCTACGCTGCTTATTCTGGGCGCCACCGTTACAGTCACGCCGTCCACATTGCCACCCTCGTGATGAGCAATTCCTTCCACCTCGCTGTCGCTGCTGAGGCTGCTGCGGCTGCTGCTACTGCTACTGGTAGGGATGGTCTTCGTTGTGTGGGCCTCCTGTGTAGTCACATTACGAAGCTGAACTGTGAAATTACTGACCTGTTTCTCCTCGATTGAGGGAGGGTTAGCCTGCACAACTACAACACCTGTGTCCTTGACAACTGTGACAGGTGTGACCTCCACACTCCCACCAGTAATAGTTGCATCGCCGTCCAGTAATGTGATTGTGGTGCCACCCACTGGAGCTGGAGTGGAAGGCAGTGCTGGAGGCTCATCCTGATCTTCGTCTTCTCTGTGGTGAAGCGTAATGTTCTTCGAGGTCTCGGAGGCCGTGACCCACTGGGTGGAGGAGATATCAGTGATGGAGGTAGAGCCACTGATTTCAATATGTGAGACAGGCTCTCCCTCAGGTTCCGTGACTCTTGGTGACACGGCTTCTGCCAAACTAAGGTCACTGTGTCTTCTGAACTGCAAAGCTTCTTCAAGAGTGCCCCACTGCCCTGCACGTCGCAGTCCCATGCCACCATCTACTCGCAGTCCAATAACTTCATCCTCCTCATCTATAGATGTAGCAGAGGAGTCTGGAAGTTGCAGTCGCCGAGGATGCTGAAGATTGGGTACATTTTCAGCAGCAGTGGTTGCTTCGGCACGTGTTAAGTCTAGTGACATGGCACGCTCGAGAACAACATTGACAACTTCAGGTTCAGTGTGTAAGCGAGAAAGATCTCCAAGAGAGGCTGCTTTACGCTTAAGTTCTTCGGAGTCCGTTGGTGGTCGTTTTGGAGTGGAAGAGGTAATGGGTTCAATCACTGCTCCAGCAATGCCTCGTTCAACATCACTGTCTGATGCAGTGGAAGTGGTATCATGTAGGACAAGAGGTGGGACTTGCCTTTCCAAAACACTCTTTTGCATTACCTCTACAACCTCTGTGGCTCCTGCAGGAGGCTGGAAGGACTTTAGTCTGACCTCCCGTACCACTAAATTACTCTTTCCTGCAACAGATCCTGAAGTTACAATTGCCTGTGGCGGTTCTGGAGCTCGCCGTTTGGAATGAACAATGTCGGTTTCATCCAAATGAGGAGTTCCAAGGGAAGCAGATAATTCTGGAATAACGACGTTTACTTGACGGGTAGTCACATGTACTTCTTCTATGACTTCTACATCAACAGGTCGTTCATTTATAGTAACTTCTGTGACTCCTGTTGCGATCTGCCGCCCACGTCCTCGGTTTCTCTTTCTCCTTTTCATGTCTGTGGGTGAGTCATCTTCTTCATCAGAGCTGGATGATGAGCTAGATGATGAGGATGAGGTGGCCGCTTTTTCTGTGCGCTTTCGTCGATTCTCTTTGGCTGCATTGGCAGCGAGAGCCATTGCATTTTCTTCTGATGTGTTTAAGACATCTTCTGTGTCCTTCTTATTCTTCTTTTCTTTGTCTTTTTTCTTCTTAGCATTCTTCTTTCTCTTTGCTTCTGCAGCATTTGGATGTTCATTCACATTGCTTTCACGAGTTGCTTCATCATCACTTGAATGACTGTCATGTCTCATACGGTTGATCTCAGTCTGAATCTTCCCCTTCAGGTTCTTAAAGCCTTTGAAACCCAGTCGAATCCCCTTGCTCTTTGGCTCCTTTACTTTCTCCTCTCCACCACGAGTATCAAACTCTACTCGGTCTTCAGCATCAACACCCTCGGAATCAGAGGTACTTCTTCCACTCTTACTCCGGAAGTTGAAGCCCATGCCCTTCTGCGACTTGCCTCTGGCAGAATCATCGCCACGTGTATCGAGGGACAGTTTCTCATCAGCATCCCCGCCCTCTGAATCTGATTTCATTTCATATTTCCCTTCAGCCTTACCGAAACCCTTAAGACCAAAGTTAAGGCTAGATCTGGACTTCACCTTTACCTCCTCCTCTACTTCAGCTTCCCGCCGGGCAGAGTCAGCCTCAGCATCGCCACCTTCTACATCATAACTTTTACTCTTATTCTTGAAACCAAAGCTGAGACTTGGCTTAAGTTTCTGTTTGACAGGGCCTCCTTCGGCCTGCGGGTCGGTGCCTACCCGTTCCTGGTCATTATTGTCCTCCGAGTCTGAGCTCCTGCTCCCTCTCCCCTTGAACCCAAAGTGCAGACCACCCTTCACCTTGGGTCTTGGCTTATCCTCATCACCATCCTGGTCCATGGAGACTTTCTCTGAGTGTTCCTCGTCGGTGTCTGAGGAGCGAGTGAAGCCTTTGAAACCGAAGCTCATTTTCCCTTTGACTTTCTTCTTGTCCTCTTTGACTTCTTGCTTGTCAGGGTCAGGGGTTAGGGAGGATGTTGGTTCTCGGGTGTCGTCCTCGCTGTCAGACGAGCGGCTAAAGCCTCGGAAGCCAAAGCCTAAACCGAATTTATGTTTTGTTTTTGTCTTTTCTTCATCATCCTCATCTTTTCCTTTTGATTTTGATTTTGGTTTTTCTATGTCTTCCTCGGCATTTCCACCTGCTGTGATCCTAAAGGTTCCGCTCTCACCAGCGGGTGAATATTTCGGTCCCTTCAGCCTCACCTCACTTTCTGGCAATGTTGCAGTTACTTTGGAAGCTTCGAAGAATTCACGCTTCTTGGCAGCAACTGTACCCTCAGGAATGTCAATATTTGGACTGCCAATGTTGACTTCAGCTGCAGTTAGACGAACGTTTGCATCAGGAACATTGGCAATATCAGTCCCTCGAGAGTCAATACCAATGTGTTTCTTGAAACCTTTAAAGCCAAAAGCCATGCCAAATCCAGGTGAGTGTTGTGTGCTCTCCAAATCTGTCTCTGAATTAGCTAACTTACTGGTGTCAGCTTCTAAATCTACCACTGGCAAGTCGATCTTGGACTTTTTCAAATCAATGTCAACTTCTGGGAGGTCACTTTCGGCTTCAATATCAGGGACTTCGACACTGGGAAGATCAACTTCTATCTTTTTACCCTCTGAATTTTTCTTCTTCATTCGAAGATCCCAGTCGGGCATACTTATATCCGGGGCATTGATTTTGAATCCGAAACCAGAGGACTTATCCTTTTTCTTTGCAGCTGAACCGTGGTCAAAGACAAGATCTACATCGGGGGTTTCTACTTTCGGAATATTGACGTCTACCTTTGCACCACCGCTTCCTGTGTGTATGTTAGGCATGTTTACTTCTGGTTTACTGTGAGTTATTCCCACATGTGTTGTCGCGTCAGGAATATGGACTTCAGGGCCCTTTAGATCAACAGTAAAGCTCTTCTTGTTGACTTTCCCTTCAGTCTCTTCATCAGAATCATGGCCTTCTGATCGTCTTAAATTCAGACTTGGTAGGTTTATATCTGGGCCCTTAAATCCAAACTTGAAACCTTTCTTTTCTTTATTGCCACTGCCTTCGTCTTCGCTATCATGGTCATCGTCCTCATTCTTGCTTCCTTTGTGGCCCTTCAAGCTGAAGCTAGGAAGATTAAAGTCAAGTCCCTTTGAGTTTTTCTTTTCTTCGTCAGAAAGTTCATCCGAACGTCCACTCATCTTCAAGTTCACATCAGGTGCTCTTACGTCAGGACCCTTAAAATTCAGTTTGAAACCTTTCTTTGACTTGCCTTCTGAATCCTCTTCTTGGTCACTTTCCTTCTGCTTGTCGTCATGTCCATCGCCGTGACCGCGAAGGTTTATGCTGGGTAGATTGAAGTCTGGTCCTTTGATACCAAGACCAAAGCTTCTCTTGGATTTCCTACCTTTATCATCATTGTCATCATTGTCAGATTCGTCTTTCTCTCGTACGTTTCCATCTGCGCTTCCTTTCACCCTCATACTAGGCATGTTGAAATCAGGTCCTTTAAATCCGAGGCTGAATCCTTTCTTTCCCTTCCTGTCCTTGTCTCCTTCGTCATCCTCATCTGATTCTTCTCTCTTATGGGTTCCTTCTCCACTTCCTTTGATACTAACGCTTGGCAGACTGAAATCAGGTCCCTTTAGACCCAGACTAAAGCCTTTCTTGGACTTTTTACCCTTATCACTCTTTACATCTTCATCATCTGATTCTTCTTTCAATTTATCATCTTCCTCTACTCCTCCTTTAATGCTCATGCTCGGTAAGCTGAAGTCGGGACCTTTTAGTCCAAGGCTGAATCCTTTCTTGGACTTTTTATCCTTATCACTGTCTTCATCTTCATTGGATTTTTTGTCTTTCATGTCTCCTTCGACACTTCCTCCGATGCTCATGCTTGGTAGGTTGAAGTCAGGTCCCTTAAATCCAAGATTAAATCCCCTTTTGGACTTTTTACCCTTTCCATCTTCATCATCTTCTGACTCGTTTTCTTCTTTATCACCTGCCTCTGCATTTCCTTTGAGGCTCATGCTGGGGAGACTGAAGTCAGGTCCTTTGAATCCAAGATTAAAACCCTTCTTTGACTTTTTCTTATCATCATCTTCATCTTCTGATTCATTCTTTTCCTTACTGTCTCCGTCTGCGCTTCCTTTGAGGCTCACACTTGGAAGACTGAAGTCGGGTCCTTTGAATCCAATATTAAAACCTTTCTTTGACTTCTTCTTATCATCATCTTCATCTTCAGATTCATTCTTTTCCTTATTGTCTCCCTCTGCGCTCCCTTTGAGGCTCATGCTGGGAAGACTGAAGTCAGGTCCTTTGAATCCAAGATTAAAACCTCTCTTTGATTTCTTACTCTTACCATCATCGTCATCATCATCAGATTCATTCTTTTCCTTATTGTCTCCTTCTGCACTTCCCTTGAGGCTCATGCTTGGCATTGAGAAGTCAGGTCCCTTCAGGCCAAGACTGAAGCTTTTCTTAGATTTCTTGTCCTTGTCTTTCTCATCCTCTTCAGAATCTTCTCCCTTGTCACCTCCTTCCCCACTGCCCTTGATGCTCATGCTAGGCAGGCTGAAGTCGGGGCCCTTGAATCCAAGACTAAAACCTTTCTTTGATTTCTTTTCTTTGTTTTTCTCATCGTCCTCAGATTCATCTTGCTCTCTGTCACCTTCTCCACTGCCCCGGATACTCATACTTGGCATGCTGAAATCGGGGCCTTTGAAGCCCAGGCTAATACCTTTCTTTGACTTCTTTTCATTGTCTTCTTTCTCGTCATCTGAATCCTTAACATCCCCTTCCATTTTTCCCTTCATGCTCACACTAGGCAGGTTAAAATCAGGCCCCTTTAATCCAAGACTGAAACCCCTCCTTGACTTTCCCTCCTTATCTCTTTCTCCTTCATCAGTTTCATCTTTCGTGTTATCGTCATCTGCACTTCCTTTAAGACTCATGCTCGGGAGGCTAAAGTCAGGGCCCTTAATTCCAAGGTTGAATCCTTTCTTCGATTTCTTTTCCTTGTCTTTATCATCATCAGACTCTTCTTTGTCATTGTCTGCACCTCCTTTGACACTCAGACTTGGCATACTGAGGTCAGGTCCTTTAAATCCAAGACTAAATCCTTTCTTAGATTTCTTATCTTTGACCTTTTCATCATCATCATCATCTGATTCTTCCTTTTCTCGTCCTTCTCCACTGCCTTTGATGCTCATGCTTGGTAGATTGAAACTGGGACCTTTTAGGCCAATATTGAAGCCTTTTCTTGTCTTCTCACTTTTGTTATCATCGTCATCATCTGAAGCTTCTTTATCATGTTCAGCATTTCCCTTGATGCTCATGCTGGGCAAGTTGAAGTCAGGTCCCTTAAGACCAAGACTAAATCCTTTCTTTGATTTCCCGTCGTTATCCTTTTCATCATCATCATCGGACCCCTTGCCACCTCCTCCACCTTTGATGCTCATGCTAGGCATATTAAAATCAGGGCCCTTGAATCCAAAACCAAAGCCCTTCTTGGACTTCTTCTTGCCACCAGATTCTTCATTATCTGAATCATCGTCCTCCTTACTGCCTGCTTCTGCACTTCCCCCCATGCTAATACTAGGTAAATTGAAATCAGGTCCTTTTAGACCAAGACTAAAACCTTTCTTGGATTTCTTATCTTTGTCCTTTTCGTTCTCATTATCCGACTCTTCTTCATCCTTGCCTCCTTTGATATTCATACTAGGCAGACTGAAGTCAGGGCCTTTGATCCCCATGCTGAATCCTCTTTTGGATTTCTTGCCTTTGGCTGTGTCTTCATCGTCCACTTGTCCCTGAGCTTTGAGGTCTACAGAAGGAAGATCAATGTTTGGTCCAGTGAACTCTACAGACTTGGAGATGCTCCCTTCCGGCAATTTCCCTTCGTACCCTTCTAAATCTCCATGGCCTTTTACCTTGACATCAGGGAGGTTGAAATCAGGACCCTTCAAGTTAATATTAAAGCCCTTCTTGGATTTCTTCTTCTTGTCATTTTCGTCTTCGTCACTCTGTGCCTCGTCATTATCACCCTTGTCTCCTTTGCCCCTTAGACTGAAGCTTGGCAGGCTCAGATCAGGACCTTTAAGGCCAAAGCTAAATCCTTTCTTCGATTTCTTTTCGTTGTCAGATTCTAGGTCCAAGTCTGCTTCGGCACTTAGATCAGCACTTGGCAATTTGACGTCTGGCCCTTTTAAGCCAAACTTGATATCTCTTCCATCCTTGTCTTTCTCATCTCCTGAGTCATCTTCGCCATCACCTCGGTCACGGCCTTTGAGACTAAAGCTAGGAAGGTTTATGTCAGGGCCTTTGAATCCAAAACTGAAGCCTTTCTTTGATTTTTGTTTCTCGTCATCACTCTCCTCCTTGTCCACGGCAACTCCAGAGGAAGCATCGCCATGGAGCTTCAAGTCCACATTTGGAAGAGTAACATCAGGACCCTCCAGTCCAAGATTGAAGTCTTTGTCAGTCTTATCGTTATCATCCTGTCCACGACCTTTTAAGCTCATGCTGGGAAGACTGAAATCAGGTCCCTTAAATCCAAGACTAAATCCTTTCTTGGACTTCTTATCCTTGTGTTTTTCATCATCATCAGATTCATCATCTTTGTTATCTCCTTCTCCACTGCCCTTGATGCTCATACTTGGCAGGCTGAAGTCGGGACCCTTAATACCAAGGTTGAAACCTTTCTTGCCTTTATCATTATCATCATTGTCGTTGTCCGATTCTGCCTTTTCTTTATCTCCCCCTTCTCCACTTCCTCTAATACTCATGCTTGGTAAACTGAAATCTGGACCCTTGAATCCAAAACTGAAGCCTTTCTTGGATTTTTTCTCATCGTTATCATCTTCTGAATCTTCCTTATCTTTGTCGCCTTTTCCACTGCCCTTGATGCTCATGCTGGGCATATTGAAGTCAGGACCTTTGAGTCCAAGACTGAAGCCCTTCCTTGACTTCTTATTTTTGTCATTTTCATCATCATTGTCTGATTCCTCCTTCTCCTTTTCGCCAGCTTCTCCACTTCCTTTGAGACTCATACTTGGCAGGTTAATGTCAGGGCCTTTGAATCCGAGGCTGAAGCCCTTCTTGCCCCTCTTATCTTTGTCATCAGTGTCATCGTCATCAGACGGCTCTTTGTCATGTTCGATTTCTGCACCTCCTTTCATGCTCATGCTGGGTAGGCTGAAATCAGGACCTTTCAGCCCAAGACTGAACCCTTTCTTGGATTTCTTGTCCTTGGATTTATCTTCTTCATCGTCGGATTCTTCTTTCTCCTCGCCACCTTCAGCGCTTCCTCTGATGCTCATACTTGGCAAGCTGAAATCGGGGCCCTTGAACCCAAAACCGAATCCTTTCTTCGACTTTTTACCTTTCTTGTCTTCGTCATCATCATCGGATTCGTCCTTTACCCTGTCACCTTCTGCACTTCCTTTCATGCTCAAGCTGGGTAGGCTGAAGTCAGGGCCTTTCAGTCCAATATTAAATCCTCTCTTAGACTTTTTATCCTTGTCGCCACTTTCGTCGTCATCATTATCGTCTGGTTGTTCCTTTTCATTGCTACCTCCTTCTACATTTCCTCTGAGGCTCATGCTGGGCAGATTAAAGTCAGGTCCCTTGAATCCAAGATTAAAACCCTTCTTTGACTTCCCACTCTTTCCATCTTCATGGTCATCGTCTGACTCGTTTGTTTCCTTACTCTCTCCTTCCGCACTTCCTTTGAGGCTCAGGCTGGGAAGGCTGAAGTCAGGTCCTTTGAATCCAAGATTAAAACCTTTCTTTGACTTTCTTATCATCATCTTCATCTTCGGATTCAATCTTTTCCTTATTGTCTCCTTCTGCACTTCCCTTGAGGCTCATGCTTGGCATTGAGAAGTCAGGTCCCTTCAGGCCAAGACTGAAGCCTTTCTTAGATTTCTTGTCCTTGTCTTTCTCATCCTCTTCAGAATCTTCTCCCTTGTCTCCTCCTTCCCCACTGCCCTTGATGCTCATGCTAGGCAGGCTGAAGTCGGGGCCCCTTGAATCCAAAGTTAAATCCTTTCTTCGATTTCTTTTCCTTATCATCTTCATCGTCATCTACTTCCACCCTTTCAGCACTGTGTTCTACCCCCCCTTTGATATTCATGCTGGGCATGCTGAAATCTGGTCCTTTTAGTCCAAGGCTAAAGCCCTTCTTCGACTTCTTGTCTTTGCCTCTTTCTTCGTCATCAGATTCTTCCTTCTCCTTAACATCTCCTTCAGCACTTCCCTTCAGACTCAGGCTAGGGAGATTAAAGTCAGGTCCCTTCAGTCCAAGACTAAATTCCTTCTTTGCCTTTTTCTCCTTGTCATCATCATCGTCGTCGGATTCATTGTCTCCCTTTTCTCCCCTAATGCTCATGCTGGGTAGGCTGAAGTCAGGCCCCTTAAATCCTAAGCTGAATCCTTTCTTGGCTTTCTTATCCTTATCACCATCATCGTCTGACTCTTCCTTTTGATTTTCCCTTCCTTCGGCATTTCCTTTGAGACTCATACTAGGCATACTGAAGTCAGGACCTTTTAATCCGAGACTGAAGCCTTCCTCTTCAGAATCTTCTCCCTTGTCTCCTCCTTCCCCACTGCCCTTGATGCTCATGCTAGGCAGGCTGAAGTCGGGGCCCTTGAATCCAAAGTTAAATCCTTTCTTCGATTTCTTTTCCTTATCATCTTCATCGTCATCTACTTCCACCCTTTCAGCACTGTGTTCTACCCCCCCTTTGATATTCATGCTGGGCATGCTGAAATCTGGTCCTTTTAGTCCAAGGCTAAAGCCCTTCTTGGACTTCTTGTCTTTGCCTCTTTCTTCGTCATCAGATTCTTCCTTCTCCTTAACATCTCCTTCAGCACTTCCCTTCAGACTTAGGCTAGGGAGATTAAAGTCAGGTCCCTTCAGTCCAAGATTAAAACCTTTCTTTGACTTTTTCTTATCATCATCTTCATCTTCGGATTCAATCTTTTCCTTATTGTCTCCTTCTGCACTTCCCTTGAGGCTCATGCTTGGCATTGAGAAGTCAGGTCCCTTGAATCCAAGATTAAAACCCTTCTTTGACTTCCCACTCTTTCCATCTTCATGGTCATCGTCTGACTCGTTTGTTTCCTTACTCTCTCCTTCCGCACTTCCTTTGAGGCTCAGGCTGGGAAGGCTGAAGTCAGGTCCTTTGAATCCAAGATTAAAACCTTTCTTTGACTTTTTCTTATCATCATCTTCATCTTCGGATTCAATCTTTTCCTTATTGTCTCCTTCTGCACTTCCCTTGAGGCTCATGCTTGGCATTGAGAAGTCAGGTCCCTTCAGGCCAAGACTGAAGCCTTTCTTAGATTTCTTTTCTTTGTCCTTATCGTCCTCTCCATCTGGCTTTTCCCTGTCTCCAACATCCAAACCACCAGACAGGCTGACATCAGGTATGTTTACATTTGGTCCTTTCACCTCAAAGCCCTCTGCGTCGATGCCTTTAGCTCCAAGGTTGACGTCTGCCTCGGGACCTTTTAACCCAAAGGAGAATCCCTTCTTATTTTTCTTATCTTTCGCATCGTCATTGTCAAGCCTTTCTTGTTCTTTTTAGTTTTGTCATTTCCATCTTCATCATCAGATATGTCTTTCTCCTTTTCACTTCCATCTGCATTGCCCTTGATACTCATACTCGGTAAGCTGACATCAGGTCCTTTAAAACCAAAGCTAAATCCTTTCTTAGATTTCTTTTCTTTGTCCTTATCGTCCTCTCCATCTGGCTTTTCCCTGTCTCCAACATCCAAACCACCAGACAGGCTGACATCAGGTATGTTTACATTTGGTCCTTTCACCTCAAAGCCCTCGACCTCGATGCCTTTAGCTCCAAGGTTGACGTCTGCCTCGGGACCTTTTAACCCAAAGGAGAATCCCTTCTTATTTTTCTTATCTTTCGCATCGTCATTGTCTGTGCCTGCATCTGCCTCAGCGTGTACTTGGACGTTTGGCATGTTCACGTCGGGTCCCTTCAAGCCAAACCGGAAGCCCTTCTTGCTCTTCCTTTTCTCCTTCTTTCCTTCGTCATCGGAGTCCTTCCCATCATCTGGCATGGAAGCATCACCCTGAAGTTTCAGGTTAGCACTCGGGACATTCATTTCCGGACCTTTCAGACCAAAGCTAAAGCCTTTCTTGTTCTTCTTGTCTTTCTTTTCACTCTCAGAGTTGTTGCTTTCGTCATTATCACTGTCATCTCCACGCCCCTTGAAATTCATCCCCGGAAGATTAAAGTCAGGAGCCTTGAATCCAAAACTAAAACCCTTCTTGCTCTTTTTGCTCTTCTTTTTGCCTCCTTCTTCTGCTTCTACATTCACCTCCTCTAGAACTGGTTCTGCGCTACCTTTTAGGCTCATGCTCGGTAGAGTAATATCAGGCCCTCGGATATCTAGCGATAGATCTTTTCCATCGCCCTCAACTTCCTTTTTGCTCTTCTTATCATCTGAGTCCTTTTCTTCATCACTTCGCCCACCCAAGCCAAAGCTAGGAAGATTGATGTCTGGACCTGTCAGGCCAAAGCTAAAGCCGCCTTTCTTAAATGCATCAACCTCAGCTTCTGCATCTGTTTTCATATCACCCCTAACCTTTAGGTCAGCCTCTGGGAGGGAAAGGTCAACTTTCGGTCCCTTTAAGTCAACATTCACGCCGTCCGCGCCTGCTCCTCCTTCGACCTCCAACGTCTTGTTGAAACTCATGTCTGGTAAGTTCACATCGGGAGCATTCAGGGTGAGGCCAGCTTGATCGCCTTCACCCTTGCCTTTGGCCTGTCCCTGGAGGTTAAGCTTGGGCATGGAGAATTCAGGACCTTTGAAGTCGATCCCAAAACCTGATTTTTCAGACTTAGATGAGATGTTTTCTACATTGCCTACTTTGTGTTCAAATTCTACGTTTGGCATCTGGAGGTCCGGAGTGTCAATGCTAAGCCCAATATTGCCCTTAGACTTCACTTTCTCTTCGTCCGAGACAACTTCGTCATCTCTCTTCAGGCCCTTGAAGTCGAGACCGAAGTTCATGTTACCGAAACCTTTTGATTTCCCAGTTTCTCTGTCGGAGTCGGTTTCTTCCTTGTGTTCGGAGTTCGCTTCCTGGCCCCGTCCGAAGCCCTTGAAGTCCAGGTCGATGCCAAAGGAACCCTTGGCCTTCTGCTTCTCGTCGTCTGTCTTGGGTTCGAGTGAGACTTTGTTCACGCCTCTTCCGCCGAGGTCGACGTCTGGCATGTTGATGTTCAGGTTCTCCTCAACTCCGAGTCTTACCTCACCTTCGGGTATGTTTGGCATCCTAACCGTGGCATCGGGGACGTCTAAGTCGCCTTGCCCGGCCTTGACTTTCATCTGCGGCAGTTTGACTCCGAACTTGATGCCACTTGGCTTCTTGTTGGCCCCGTCGAAGCCCTCGGCCTCGATTCCTGCCGAGGGAGTATCCATTTCGGTTTCAAGATCGAGACGAGGTTGCTGAAGGTTGAGCGAAGGACCCTCAGCTGACAGTTCTCCTCCAGCTTCGAGGTCGAGATCACGCTTGGAAACTCTTCCTGTCAAATCTGGCAAGACTTTGATGCCGAATTTCAGCTTCGAGTCGGCTTTG